TGAAGTGGATTGTCGAGCTCGTTGCTATAACCCCTGTTTCCAAATCAAACATCTAGTATACAATGCAGGACGCATAACGCATTAGGCAGTGGAGAGATAAAGAGGGAAAGGTGAAAGAGTTACCAGATTGGTCGCATAAACGCCCATCATTTCCATATCTCTCGATCCCTGAACATGTTTTTTTATCGAATAGTTTTTTTGGTATAGCCAACTCATTATCTGTGAAATCCATTGGGGCTGATTCTACAGCGTTTATAGCAACACGATCATAGTTTCGGAATTTCTGGCTCAGTGTATCACTCTAGATGTGGGCATCTCAAAGCTAAACGTAATGTTGAGAAAAGTGATGAAAGAGTTTTTGTTCTGTTTCATGGGTTATTTACACTATGTATACTTCAAAGCGAAAGTGTTTCTGACGTTAATGTCCTTCTATAAGTTAATCTTCATAGCTTTATTATTTTATGTACTATTTACCTTGTGTGTACGTTATCAGTATTAAACATTTGGAAGGTCCTGAAGTGATACTGCACTCGTCGTTTTATTACTGCAATGAAGCAGACAGCAGAATTCCCACTACGAAGCGCGTTTCATCCCGATCATTTTGGTCGAGTCATTCATTTCTGTTTCCTGTAGCAATACTGTAACACAAAAACGAAAACAAGTTGACAAAGCGGGAGGAATCTTCTAGATAGTTTCTATATTTCTGGTAATGAGTTTTAAAATTTTAGTGAGTAAACGGGGTATGTTCTTTAGCCAGTAATTAATTAGTTGAATTTGGTCTTATTACATTATTGCATATTATGACATTATAGGGTAAGCTTTCCGTAGTAACTTATAAAGAGGCTTTTGGTAAGGTTTTTCTGTTGTGTGATATTGTAAACGAGCCGGTTTTTAGAACTCTGAAAAAGGCTTTTGGCATTACTAGATATCGCTTAATGCGAGAACAAAACATTCATTTTCACTCTATGACCGTTCAAAATTTTTCATGCAGTACATAACTCTGGTGAAGTAGAACCAGCTTTCACGAATACTTACGGCCAATAATCCAAAATCTACTGAAAATCCCTTAAGGATTCCACCTAGGTGTTGACAGAGTACTTTCTCAAGATTTCTAACACTCAACATTTTTTGTTCAGTCAAGGTGATGTCGTGTGAATAGGCAAAGCATGACATGCCATTACAGTTTTATATGTAATGCTCTCATTTTTCTCAAAATCGTTTATTTTTCCTTTTTGTTTTTTTTTGGAAGGTTGAAAATTGATATAAACTACGTTGAATTCTATCGTCGTTTTTCCGTGCTAACAACATATTCAGTGTTCGAGGTGTGAGAATGAATGTAATCTCCACTGTAGGTCGTCGGGAGAAATTGAATCTTCACGGTTTGAGACGACAGCCACATAAAATCCGGACACAGAATGGGACATATATGTTCGTAAGGGATGCGAACTTCTTTTCAATATCTAATACGATAATAAGGTCTATCCGCCTAACCATACAAGGGTTTATCCGAAATATATCACTAGCATAACAGCATGAACTTAGTGCGTTCAATGTCTGTGTTGTTATTTGATCATCTGTATCACTTTGAATCCCGTAAAAAGTGAGTGAGTCGAGAGGATATTAGCACTGGAAGCAGGAAAATCGCAACTCATCTCTGTTATATCAGGACAGTATGCACCACTGGGTACATTGCCATCATCAGCGTTGGTTACCCTGAAGGAAGGACGATTAAATCAAGTGAACCACATTGAGGCGGTAAACCATTGGGCTGATAACTGGTAGTAGTAAAAATAGCTACGTAGACACAAAACATTGTTATGATTGCATTTATAGGTAAGTTTAAGCAAATCAGGCGCAGCAAAGATTACGAACCTGTCTACTGGATATGCCTATGTAACAGGACAAATACATGTGCACTTCAGGTTCCTGTTTAATTTCTAATCATCCACTTTATGATTCACGGTGGAGCGTCACTACTGATCGGCACGAGGTATGCGATACCTGGGTGATCCGCGATCATTATGCGTGGGAACGCGACAGATGCTACTGAGGCGTCAACTTTCCAGTTCTAATACATAAAGGAAATATGCGAAAAACTTCTATATAGTTGTGGAAGACGCGGGCCGATTCTGTCATCCAGAACGTGTTTGTTAGCAATATGTGCGAGATGGTGTCTAAAACGTCCTATACACCGTACTATCGAAGATAAGGTGGGTCAGGCACCTAATGCCTATGGAACGACAGCCGATGGATGGGAGCCGTTAGTGACTGGATTCTTTAGGATGTCAAACGTACGTGCAAGAAGACAACAGACTCGATGGTCAGAGTTCTTCACGAGGACCCTAGAAGACACTTATGATGCTCAGTGAGTCCCTAAAGGGAAAAGAATCTACTGCGCTACTTTTGCACGACATAGGAAAAAGTAGAAGATTTACTGACACGTGCTAGAATCACTCGACATTCAGCAGGGCGACTGATGATGCAGAGGATGTGCATGACATTAGCGAAATAAAATGGAAATTTAGGTTATTTGGTATATGAAACTCTATTCTTCATGTAAACAAACAGCAAAAGTTAATGTGGAAGCCAACTTTGACTTTTATACATCCTGTTTGCTTGCTCACTTCTTTCCGATTTGTCCGCCTTCGATCAAGATATGCTGAACAATAACGCTCTGTTATAGTAGTTTTAATATCAGTGAATGACTAGTAAACTGATTTTCTGCTTCGGTTTTTCATTCTAAGTCTCTTTGAAAACTTTTCGAGCACTCCTTTTTGAACGTATTCGGAAATATAATTTGTACGTAATAACCTTTACGTAGGGTGTGCTCGCTCAAGTCTGCTTATCCGCCTTTCGATTTCTTACGCACTGATCGTGTCTGCACCTTGTTCCTGCTCATCGAGGAAACTGAATTGTTGGTCAGTGCCAAGGTTACTAGGCAGTCGACCATGTAGTTTACTTAGTAATAGAAATAGTCATAAGGAAATAAAATAAAAAGTAATTGAAATATTCTGCAATGACCCAATGACATTCTAGCTATAATCGTTGTGTAAGTTGAAACTATTTTCCTTAAATTTCTCCAAAGCCCTCATTTCATCTCAACATGACCTGTTGACAAAGCTCACTAGGACAACACAAAACATTCTTTTTCCAGAAGCGAGTTCAAAGCAAGAAGTTCTTCGTTTTGGTTTATTGTTAATCGAGCATGAAGTTTTCACAATAGCATAGGTTTCGTTGTAGAATTCCATTTGAAACATGTGGTTTAGGGCTGCGTTTAACCTTTCGTTCATCATCTCGAGATGCGTTGTTTATCCTTACAACTAGACCGCTGTGATTCCTCTATTTTTTGTTCTGAACGGAATCATTAATCCTGCAGTTGGTACTTGCTGCATCATTGTTTCTCGGTTTTCAGGAAGGGTCTTTCACTGGTTTCGTGTCTTTTACAAATTCGCTACAATGTGCATTGGTTTAGTTGCTTATGTGTTCGGAAATAATTGCACCCTAAACTTAACAAGCAGATGTCGACCCATGGCGATTTTTGGTTGAAATAAGATTATCAGCCGGTAGAACCTATAGGTCTTTGACTACATGACGCAGGTTTTATATTCTACCGGGATAAAATTCTGATTTTTTGGAATCCACGTGTTGTTTACACTTTTTCAACGCTTGTATCGCGAGCTTATATTGAATTAGCAGGATTTCACACAGTTGGACGCAGCGATGTGCTCGAATTGTGCTCTCGGAGGCTAAAATGCTTGCGTTCAAAGTTCCGAAAACTTGATCTTTTTATTTAAAGGTGTTTTATCTTATCTTTTAATCTACTTGTGGCATTGAGAGGACGAACGACTGTGGACCATAGACTCGGATTCTTGGCTCTGAAGAAGGCGAAGACGTTGATATGCTAGCCGATTAGACCTTTTTATCAGCCTCGTCTTAATAATCCAAGAAGATTTTGATCTTTGTTTCCAGTTTTTCCGTTTTTTTCTTTGGAGCTTTGAATTTTTAATAGTTTCAGTCTTACAAAGTAGTATTTTGTAAGAATTCCATATATCCAGGAGTAAAGTTTCTCGTATGAACCTTTCATGTTCCCAATTTTTCGAATAATTTAATTATCGAAAAATGATCGGCATTTATCGTAAAACCAGCTTTGCCGCAAATGTTCTAAACACGAAAGCCATCATTGGCTCTTGAAAGCGTCTTTCGCAGTGTTAATTTCGTGGTTTACCAGCTAATTGACTTCTTGAAAATCTAGCATCTTCGAGCGTACACGCCTTTTGTCAATCGATGAATAGTCAGTGGCATTCAAATCTTGTGTTGTGAGTAAGCGGCCTTGACGACTAGCTGGCGTCCATCATAGGCTTTTTCTATGGTATTGAGATGACTAATCTCTGCTATTTGAATTATGGTTTGTTCTGGTAGCAACGGTGTGGAAAGTCTAATTCCCTGGGTGAACGGAGGTAGAGGAAATTCGTCATAAAAAACAATTCAGAAGATAAGGAATATATGACAATGTCTAAAACAGTAGAAGAGTGGATGCTTTTCAAAATTGGTCACTATAAGCGTGTTATTTTAATAAGTAGTTTTCGTCGTTATGGTAGTAACTGTTGATTGTTGGGAAAGGCTAGTTTGGAGGGCGTTGAATGAAAGACTATTTATAAAGTTTAACGTTTTGTTTTCTGCCTTCTGTAATTTTCATGGCAGGTTACTAGGCGAAATACAACCACAACGTTGCTGAAATATTTGCAAAACTCTGGACCGCAGGTGTCTATGGTGGGGAACGAACGCGCTATTGTCCTTTCCGGGGAGTAGAGTAACGCGTTCAGCACCACACCATGCGCGCCCTTCGTTTCGCCTGTCTCTCACCTATTTCTATCGATCTTTGCCACAGCAATCATCCGTCAGTGGGATTGATATTTATTGATACCATCTATAAATTAACATGTTGGTTTATCCAGTTATCGTAGTTAAATTCAAACCGTAAAGAGTTGCTGTACGTGTTGATGAACGTGACGGCGACTGATGATTATTGTAAGAGCTTGATAGATGTGTCAATCAGGATGGGGGGTGGTGATTTGTTCAAGGTCTATAGAAGAGCATTTTATCATGTCGGAGAGACGAATGAAACTGCGTAGAATGCTTGAAGGAGTATCAAGTCTATGGAGCGCCTTTGTTTTTTGAAAAGTTGTTGATTGCGTTGGTGAATTACGACTTTTCAGGGCAAAGCTAGCGGTAACAAATGGGCATTGTATATGCGAAGTTTCATCCAGAAAACTTTGTTTTCCTTGGGGAACAAAGTGCATGCAAATGCTGCTACCGTTATTGTTACCGTGTTGATGATGTTTTCGATCTGTTGCTATGGTTTACAGTTCGTCCATATCGAAACAGATATTGTAAAGCTGTGGGTAGCCAGTGAGTTGTTTTCTGTGCATTTAATTGTTTACTCAGTGAACTAGGATATTTTATTTAATCCTTTCAAATACGGCTAACGTATTTACGTCGTGAGCTGATGACCCATGAAAACGCCTAGTGAAAAGTTGAAAATGTGTCTAGTAAATAATCTTTGAATTCCTGAATGAAGATCCTAACTTTTCTGCCAATTTTTTAGAAGGTGGTCGTCTTGATGAGGAGCTGAATTTCCTGTCACGGATACAGTCGACGATGAATGACAATGAATCGAACGCTGGAGTAGAAATCGTTCGTGAAAACGGACTCGGAGGTGGTTACCAGGTGGTGATTCAGACACCCGAATACGCCGGTCAGAACATCTTGGATCGAGATCCATTGCTGAAACATGTGGACACGATGCGAGAGATAGCTAATTTCAGTATCGAACTGCATAATGTGTAAGTGTTGTTCATTGTAAAACTAGCTTTATACTTTCTCTTTCTTCGTCTTTTTCATCTGATTTCACACAGAAAGTGTTCATTAAAAATCTGGTTTATCGAATTAAAATAGAAGCAGTTCTGAATTCCCTCCGTGTCTCATTGCAGAGAGGAATACTCAAGAGAGGACCTTATAACAAATGCGTCAATAGCGGACAGTATGGTTGGAAAGTTTTTTGATCCGTCACACATCCAGTTAAGGGAAATGTTGATGTGCACTAAGTTAATACTTAGTAGATTTCTATTGGAGTTTGATTTTGAGCATCTGTTCATGAATCTGACCACGTTGTTCTATGTTGACGTCGTGATTATTGCGAAAGACGGATGCTAAGGTGGCTTTTTGAATGGCAGAGTTAATACGAATTTATAGAAATGGGAAATGCGTTGAAATTTTCGCAGTTTAGTGAAAAATATGCCTGTATGGTGGCAAATGATACCGTCATTATTTTTAATTTACGAATGGAGTGATCGAATGAAAACTATTCGAACTGTTTATATCCCTTGGAATATAGAATTTTTATTCGCACAAAGTACACATTGAAGCTTTATGTTTAGTCACGGGATGTCTTGGTATTCGGGCATGATATGTGAAAAGTAAACATTGAAAAAAAAACTCAGGAATTCCGGTGCTGTTTCCAAATATTTGCCCAACTGATTTGCTAGAATGTTAATGACGTTACTTTTTACATCCATGTAGTATCATGCAATCATTGGATAGCGTGATGCGCCTGCTAGCAAAATATTGTTTGCCAAGGGTAATGGAAATGCCTCATTTCAGTCATTTCCTCTTATGTGTTGAGTATACGTTGAGGCTTAATGAGATTAGAGAGAGAGAGAGAGAGAGAGAGAGAAGAGATTAACAATTGAGCAGGAAATTAAATGGAAAAGTTCAGTTAGTGCAAGTAAAGAGGAAGAGGTAGAAGTTCTTACAGTCGTTCGAAAGTTGAGCATTAGCAGAACCACTAGGGTTTTGTAATTTTGCTAAATTTTTTGATGTCAGCATGAATACGTCTATGGAATTGAAGCAGAGGTATTTGCGAAGTATGAAAATGTCAGCACAATGATTAGAACTGGTTTGAATCGTTGTGAGCTTACAAAAAATTGGATGTTATTGTGGCGAGCAGGAGTGTAGGTAATACAAGACCGGGACTAAATTAAGAATTTTCATTGTTCAGCACATGGTCGTTGTCCGATATCTGTTTCAAGCCGGCTCCACCTGAACTGGATGGTATGGCTGCCGACATGTCTGATGTTATTGAGAGAATAGTACCATGCATTTGGATCACGCCGATCGACTGCTTTTGGGAGGGAGCGAAAGCGCTAGGACCGCATCCGCCGATTCCCACTAAGTAATTTTTTTCTTAGCAAACTCGTGGGCAGATTATTTTGGTAGATTCACTACGAAAAGAATATCTTTTAATGAACATTTCAGCGATTTGTCATTGTTGGCTTTGTTGAAGTCGATTCCGAATAGGAAGTTCATCCAGTGGACATATTTTGATCCAATGGAAGTGATTAGTGAAATCCATCGAATGTTCAATATCGGCTCTCATCATACCTTTTTTGAGAGGGTAAGGGTTCATTAACACTTTTTCTCTGCTGTTCTTGCGCTCATTAAGGCTTATGTTTCAAGCATTAAACAAGCACGGACAAGTTGAACTTCGTCCAGCAAAACATAGTGATGTTGTCACATCGCTTGCGCTTGCAACTGCAGCGTCGTGTCTTAGTTCAAACCTCTTTTTTTCCCACCCATCTTTTCTTTGCCTTTCAGTTTTAATTTTTTGAAAGTTTTGATTTCGAACAAGTTTAGGATTGAAGGAGTACGAATAAGAGAGGACGAGAGAGAAAAAATAAGAATAAAGACTATATTTATAAAGTTTATGTTTACCTCTAGATTGAGTAACTCTTTAGGTTTGTGAATTTTTAAACTCTCATCGCCGAGGAATCATCGTTTTTTAGCCATGCGGATAGTTTTCAAAACTTTGGATGTTTCTACTGATAATTCTTTTAGGATGCTTGAGTGTTTTTCTTGGGGATTTGTACTTACATTGTACGTTCGGGATGAATTTAAATTTAATTCTTAGCATACAATGCTAATAAATCTCCAGAGTACCGTCCTTTATTTTGGAAATATTTATGGGCATTTTTGAAGCTGCTGTCGCAGTAAAAAGGGGGTTTTTTAGGTGTTGTTCACGCGAATGATAAAGAATTTCAGGCTGGTGTCGGGCATGGTTACCTTGATCGATATTGCATAAACCCTCTAGATCCAGAGTGTCCGAAATTGGCGCCAAATTACTACGACGTATGTCCGATGTTGGACACTTTCCGCAACTATGCGCATAAAAATAACATCACTCTGGAAGCGGATGATTTCTCTAACGATGCGTATGAGTTCGATCTGCTGTCATTATTTGGTTAGTAATCTGATTTGATCCCTTTTTAATTCTTTTCAATTCTATCACACATAATCGTTTATTACACTGCAAGGTGCCTTAGACTGTAGATTTTGCTGAAAGTCCTATCTGATTTCTTGCAAAAGACTTTTGTAAAACTATTACAAACTTGCATAAATCGTTCATATTGTTCCCTTTTACTTATAAGAAACCTTCCCAAGTTTTCGGTCCACTTATTATTTCATAATGCTCTCTTTTTTATCAGTTCATGAAGACCGAGGAACAATGACTTATATACATATGCTTTTCAGATTTTGGTAGCAGAAGGCGGAAAAGGAGTCACGTGGCAGAGAAACCAGAGTCACCAGCTACAAATGGAACGGAAGATGAGGAGTTATCGGAAATAGAGTCGGTTACCTTGGATTCGCTTGTTCAAACAGAACATAAAAAGACGAGAGCTGTTCCTACAGGTATGTTGTTTTTCTTGAAATCTTGGTCTTAAAACTCATTTAAAGTTTTCAGATTGCAACGCATATCGTGGGCCAATGATGCGGTGGATGTTCGCCAATCCTGACAGGTGGTCTGAATTTCTTGACCATGTGAGTATTCTTTGTTTTACGGAAAGATCTTTTATCCAGAATATCTTGAAAAGATAGGTGGTTGCAACTGTTGTGACTAAGACGGAAAACATAATAGGTGAAGTTCCTCTTATTGAGTAATCATTTTTAACCTGAATCTATGCTCTGCATTTGAACGTGGTCTTCAGTAGTGCTTCAGTTCCACTCTAAGGAGTTGATTTTTGAGATATATATATATGTATATATATATATATATATATTGAAGTAGATATATTACTGAATTTGCCCCAATAATGGTGAGCTTACAGCTCGTAGATATTGATGAATCGAAAAGTCACATCCCTAATTGTCCAGTTATTACACAGTTTGATATGTACTGTGCAGGAAGCGTAATAGTCTATCCAAACTTCCATATTGCCATATTGCCACCAACCGTTGATTACTTGTTTAAGCTGAATTATCACGTCCAAAGATCGTCCTTGCTGCCAAAATTTATTTGGCTTTGTTATATTATCATAAATTGTACTTAACGTCTACTTTATTTTAACTGTTTAATTTTTGTTGTTATTACAGTCTCAGTATCCTGTTTTCCCCGACTACGCTGGTGTGATGTCGGGTGGATGCCCTGGTTTTGCAAAAGGTGTTCTTCATTGGCCAGAAGATATGATACTAGGCGGAGTGAAGCGGTCAGCCAATGGAATGAGAATGGAATCAGCAGAAGCGCTACAAAGCGTATTTCTTGTCGCTAGTCCAAATGATGTGTTTCTGAGGTATAAACAGAAAGTGAGTGTTGACATTCGTTTTCTTGTTGTTTTCATAAGTAATATGTTTTTCTTCAGAGTGATAGTACAGCGCCAAAACCAGAACTGGAGCAATCCACTTGGAGTGAGCAGCTCGCTAAAGAGGTCATCCAGCAATGGCAGAGAAATTTCACTCGCATGCTGTACAAACATCCTGCGAACTTCGACAAAGAGGTTCTTTTTTGTTTAAACAAAAAGTCGTGAGCAGAATTGTTGGAGATGAAGACAATAGAAAGTGATAATTTCATCTCATTTAACAGGGTCTTGAACGCCGTACAATTCATCCGTTGGCATCGACGTCAATTGCCGACATGTTACAAGAGTTTTGCCAATTTAACTACAAAATTATTTTTGTTGGATACGGTCTAATGGTTAGTTGATGGGTTACATCATCTTTCAATTGCAGACGTCCCAATCTTTTTAAATTTCACTTTTTTGCTTCCAAATTCTGAGAATTAAGTTGTTAAGGGGCATGTAGTGGTTTAGCCAATGGCACTTGCGTTGTCCTTGCCTGTTTTAGTTTCAATACTTCTAATGTACGACGTATTCGTGCATTAAGAGACTCTGAACTTATATCTTTCTACTTCTGTTCAGCAAACACGAGGTGCTATTTTATTTCTTTATTTACGCACAAGCTGACGTTTCGGCGGATTTCGCCTTCCTCAGAGCCGCTTTCTATGAGTCTTCCACTGAGTATATCACGTGAAGACCGACCGCACAGAATTCACATGGAAGCGTAATGTCTGAAGTGTTTCTTCGAGAGCTAGTGGAGACGATTATCATTATGATAAAGTGGAGAACACATTTTTTTCATGAGAAAGACGGGTCACCGATAAGTTTTACGGGTGTTCTTGTGAAGGATATCTCAAGTGGTTTCTCATGTTATAATTGCCGGTTGAAGTTTTTCTTTTTTGAAATTGCTTGGTATCAAATTAATATCCGATGCTAGCTATGTCAATTTTTGAATACCCCTTTTTTGTTTTTGTTAAGATAAATTTAGTCGTAATCAAAGCGGTCAGTGTCATTCTCAGAGATTACTGGAGTAGAAATTACTTTACTGCGGAAAGCGTTAGATGGTAGCGTATTGAAGAGCGTACTATAACAACTTAAGATGAAATACTTTAAGAACTGTGAGCTATTTTTGATGAAAAATTTTCTCTTTTAGCTTCTGTATGCAATTTTCACGCAAATGAAACGTGACGGTTGTCTACCATCATCTCAGTCCTGCATGGGTCTTGCATTGGCTGGTGTGTTGACTGTGACATTTGCCTCAATCTCCGGACTTGGGTTAGCCACGTGGTTCGGTATTGAATTCAACGCTGCCACAACACAGGTAAACTGATCTTGTGTTTTTCTACGCATCTGTTCTTATTTATCTAACGATTTATTCACATGCGTATGGTTTTTCAAGTAGGATTATCAGAATGTTAACGAGAGATAATTCTTATGAACACTACTCGCAGCTGCGTTATTGTGACAGTAATTACATTAGGCTATGAAGTGGGTAACACGTGTAAAATAAATGTGGCTGCTTTGCTACTTGATTCTTTGGAGATTATAGCCCACGGAGGCATCTGTTCTATGCGAGATGACCTGTGGTGCTTCTTCTTTGTTTCGTTTTCTGACAAGGAATAACCATCAAAATGCCTTATTGGAGAAACTACCGACACAGTTTTTGTCAGAGGATGATCATGCTGTCACTTCTTTGGCTTCGGCCATGACTTAGATGTAAATTTGCAGCAGAACCTTTTTTGGAATCAAGGAAAAATTCGTAAACTCGTTTGGCTCCATGCAAACTTGTTGACCGGCGCTGGGACTTCTCTTCGTAACTTATTTGATGAAGTTTTGTGCTACTTGGTTTTCGTTCCAACCTATTGTCAACACCATAGATACAATGTCGTCAATTTTCATCATTTTGTGACTGCTACTAGAATGTAATCACAGTACCGGCATAGATTTTCTCTTTTTCGATTTTCTTCGTTAAAACATCAAGACCTGGAAGCTTGAGTGACTCCATCGTTGCTGAATTGGCACATGGATTGCAAGTGCACACATTGAAACACTATCTTGTCAGCGTAAAGCAATTAGTTTGGCGGGAATGGAAAGTGAAAGGAATAGAGAAGACTGGTATGATCAAGATGTTATTGGTAAACTTTCTTTTCCTTGGCGCTGTTCAATACATTCGCGACAGAATGGGTTTATCCACATTTGATAGTAAAGTTTTTGGAAAAGTAACATCATTAGATGCATTAAGAACATCATTTTGACTGAATTATCGCCTCATTCGCTGCTCTGCTAGACGTACAAGTCTTCGGTGAAAAAGACGAGAAATCAGAATTTGTGGGAATCAGAACGGATTCGAGTTTTTTCCTGATTAGCTGTTACAGAAGGGATAACTTGTTTTGGAAGTTCTCCAGGTTCTAGGAGATTCTGTTTAACGGGTAGGATTTACATAAGATAGGATATGTTTGCTTAGAGTAGAGGGAAAATTTCAGGCATATTAGCACTTAAATCAATGCGCGTTTTCGTCCGCGAATGTGTTGATATCTGGAATCAATAAGTTTTATGTTTCAGATTGTACCATTTCTCACACTCGGCATCGGTGTGGACAATATGTTTATGCTTTTACATAACTACCACGATGTGATGTCACTCACGAATCAGCACGAAATTGGCATTTTGATGCGGGAGACGGGAATGTCCATTCTCTGCACTTCCATCAATAACATATTGTCATTCCTTGCTGGTAAGTCGTTAACGGTTTTTCTTGCCAATGCTAATGATTCATTCCTTATTGCAAAGTTAACGTATTGAGATCGCGAAAAACGTGTTTGCAGAATTGCATCGTTTCAATCATTGATGATATTTCCTCCAATGTAATCATTTTTTGCAATATACCCAATTTCAACGTGTGTTCTGGTAAAAATCCATTTCATATTTCAATTCCTTTTCCAGGGACTATGCTTCCCATTCCGGCATTGCGTTCTTTCTGTGCTCAAAGTTCTATACTACTTACTTTTAACTTTATCGCCATTTTAACATTGTACCCTGTAAGTTACATTTGTAAACTCACATCACACTTTTTTTGTTTGGTTTTCACGCACTTTTCGCTCTATTTTAAGGCAATAATATCTATTGATCTTCGACGAAGGAAAGCCGGAATGAGAGACTTAATCTGTTGGGTCCGTGGTGAAAGTAGAGAAGAAGCGTACTCGATGATAACGAAGCCTCACATTCAGGTACGAGGGAAGTTCGACGCTGCTGTGCCATAAATGTTGTAAATTCTTCCAAAAGAAAAGTTTTAAACGAGATTTCTTATAGTTGCTATTATATTCGTTCATGCATCATTCATGTTAATGCATTCTTACCGAGGAACAAAAAAAAAATAAAAATAAAACGATAGTTCTTGGCGTTTATCATTCCCTGAGGGACGGGCCAAGCATTCCACTTCATCAAGCAATCAATCGTTAGAGATCACTGGATGCATATATAGCCTATGCAGTGACTCGGGCGATGTGCCGAATTATCGAGTCATTGCTGCTATCATCCTAGACTGGAAGCATGAAAGGGTTGGTGAACCTGGAGCGCAGGATGGAGTCTATGTGTGTTGCGAGGCATGTTTAACCACAGCGTTCTACGAACCCATTGAGAACTGAGAAACAAAGCAACAGTAGTACCAATGAGGATAACAGTTTGCTACAATTTAACATCTTTGTTAGCACTTACACCGTGACATCCCATTTTCTCCCAAACTCAGCAGTTTCCAACAAATTGACATTTTGCGGTGGTTTTTTCCTAACTACCATATTTGAGGACCGTAGAACTTAACAGAATTGTTGAAAAGAGGTTGTTTTTTAAAGTTTTATTTTCTTTTCATGTTTATTTAGAAAAGCAGAAATTTGTTTATTTTTTGTTTTATGCGATTCGTCTTTCATATATGTGCGGATCGCAGTACTTCTTGCATTCGATACGTTTCTTCGCATCCATCTTAAATGAGAGTCTTCCGAGTTTTAACCTGTGGTTTTGGCTGTTGCTTGAGCACTTTTCATTTCATCATGAATGTCGTTTCCTCGCATCCATCATAAATGTTGTTGAGTGATGGTGGAGTCGATTCTCCCTGGAGTTCTGAAATGGTCTGGTTAGAACGTTCTCACTTGGATTGCAGACAGTGGTTTTTTTTTTGCACAAGTCCTGTATCAATTTTCCGAGCCTGAAGGGTGGAAAGATGTGATGAGCTCGTGCCGCGATTGAATCGGTGCCGTGTTCATGATGAAAGGGCCACTACCACTGTGCTATCTGCCTCTGAAAACAACGATGAAGTATCCACGTTTAAAATTTTATTTCGTATTTATATTATTTTATATTATTGTATTGTCATATTACTACATTTATATTATATATTACATTTATATATCACTATGATATTATGCGCTATGTTACACTATATTGCATATGATTATATTATAGTATTATTGTTATTTTATATTTTTTAGGAATATTTTAAATTCTTAACGCTAACGCGACTACCTCACACATAACGAATTCGGTTTCCTCAGCTCGATTTAGAAAACTACGTTGTAGAAAAGTGTTCATCGGAGAGCAGCACGAATGATCGACGAGTTTGCGCAAACACTTCAGGAGGACTTGATACGCTCCAGAATAGTCTAGATAATAAACAGAGTCAAGAAATAATTTAAATCTCCAGATTTTCTGAAGGCCACGACATGTTCCTTCCACTTTTCTGTTTCGAGGATCATGTTTTTAAATTGAAAGCAAATGAACAAATGAAATTTCATCTGGGACACGATGGTGTTTCCCGGTGTATCGTTCATGCCTTGAACGGGCTGTCGCTTTTGCGTTGAAATTTTTAACACTTGTAAATTTCACTTCCAATTTTTTAAGAACCCTGATTTTAAACAAATTCAATTTTGGAAGTGCATTGCGTACAAATCATGCATATGATTAGTACGGTAAAGTCTCTGCTATGAACGTATGAAGTTCCGAATTGAAGTGCTTTGTTAATACGAAGTGACAATCGTAGAAATGGAAAAACTCAATTTTTGTTGTTTTTAATAAATATCTAGTTTTTTTTGAGCAGAAGCGCGACGAAATCTTGTCTGTGCAATTATGAACCACGGTGATGTTTTTTTAAACAGAGATTTGCTTTCAGATGAAGACAACAATTGGCGAACCAATTATGCGCATGCCGTCGTATAAAGATTTGGAAGAGGAGCCGGAACCGGAACCATTCTCACTGCATTCACTTATACGAAACTACTATATTCCTTTCATTAATAGGAAATGTGTAAAGGTTGAGTTTATTGTGATTTGTTCTAATATTTAGAGTATACTCAACCTTTTACTAAAACGAACTTCAAAGGTTTATTCAATAGTATGTCCAGCGTTTCCTTGAGAAATACATATCCTGTATTTCTCTTGAGGGTTTTGCTCCGTTGCATGGGTTGGAATAAAATGCAAACTATAGTAGCTAGCGTCAGTTTGATGCGCTTAATACATATTTCTTCTAGACCGTTGTAATTAGCGGCTCGTTCGCGCTACTCATGTTAGCTGTGTGTGGAATGCGACAAGCGGCTATTGGATTGGAGCTCAGTGATGTACTTCCAGAGCATACAGCACCAGCTAAATTTTTACAAGCACGGGATAAGTACTTCAGGTTAGCCAAATTGATCCTCTATTAAAGAATAACTGAGGTACGTTTATTAGAAACATGAAGAAAAAGTCTTTTAAACATCAAGCGGGCACAACGAATTTTGTTGCTTCGGTGTATCCATGTTCTGCTTACGGCATGTTTTCAGTTTCTATCCAATGTTCGCTGTAATCAAAGGTCCTCACATAGACTATGCTCGCCAACAGCACCAGATTGACAATTACCGTAAGGCGATAGGTCAGTTTACCCAGTGGTCAAATTTTTCAGCTTTTGTGATATTCTGGTTTCTATCGCCATTTTCTTGCAATAGATTTTTATTTTGAGAATATAGATAAAGGGATCTTTCTAGCATCTTCAAAATTCGTTATCAAAACGAAGTTCGGTGAGCCTTCAGAAAAATATTGGTTAGGAATGATGCGTGACTGGTTGGCCAGTTTGCAAAAGGCATACGACCATGAAATGGCACTTGGAAAGTGAGTTTGTCTAATTATTCATACATCGTATTTTATTTGACATGTTCATGACCAAATTACTTCAACCTGTATTGTGCGCTTGAAACTGAACGACTGCTGCACCTGTATCAAAACGAATTAAAAGTGTTATTATGTTAGTATTCTCTCAATTTTAACACTTGGTTTTCGACAGTTGGTTTCCACGCCATGGATAAAAATAACGGCTCTTCTCAAAATTAAATCAACATATCTCACCTCGAAATGAACTTTATCAATTCAAACGGAAAACCGTTAGAATCCACAGATCTTTCCCACGACCGACTTTCTATTAACCTTGGCATTGATCAAGTAATTCTTCGTATTTTTCTTGAGCAAACGCGAAGTGTTATTATTCTTTATTCAAGAAAGCTGACGTTTCGGCGGATTTCGCCTTCCTCAGAGCCTGGAAAGGTCAAGTTGATAGCAATCTACTCGGCCAGACGCTTCCATAACCAAACAGAGAAACTCTAAACCAAGATTTCAATCACATTGAACACAGCTTTGCACACTCACCGCTTTCTATGAGGTTTCCACTAAGTATGTCACGTAGAGACCAACCGCACAGAAATCACGTGGAAGTATAATGTGCCCCTCACATCAGAAAAGCAGTTTTATATACTGCCCTATATCACGCGTGATAATGAGGCGTTCTTACCTGCGGTTCATTTTCGGATTTCTGGAATTAATCCAGAGTGCCTCGAGAGTTTTTCGCGCCTGTGTTCTTGATTCGCGTGCGAGGATCGTGACACATACTTCAAAGTCCTCCCCGTTATGTTTCTGGGTCTCATGCGTGCCTAGCGGGGTATTTGGTCTATTTTTGCCGGCTAGGTGTTCTTTCATGCGGACACAGAGGGGTCTACCCGTTTCGCCAATGTATTCGTCACCACACGTCTTACAGGAGATCAGATAAACTATACCCGAGCTCATGCAATCACCGTCTCTACCACTGGAGCAAATTATGCAATTTTGAGTTGCACATAGACGGTCATATAGGCGGTTACGAACTAGCTGGCGCTTAAGATTACTCGGTGGTATTTCAACTACGCTTACCGAATTCTCTAAGACCGCCCTTCTTAAGCAGCGTTTTATAGCAGTACTTATATAATTTGAGATGAAGGTTGGAATAAACGGGACCCTTCTATCGCTAGAGATGTTGTTTGGAGGCCTACGATTTCCTCTACACCTATCCTGTGCTACAGTTTCGTAGTCATTAGAAATGGCTATTTGCCGTGCCAAGTTCCGGGATTCCTCTCTCTGCTCTCTTCTCGTGCACACGTTGGTTGCTGTTCGAAGCTTATTTCTTATAAGCGCCCTTTTCGTGTGAGAGGGGTGAGAGGAGAGGTAATGAAGTAAGATATTTTTACTACTTGGCTTTCGGTACCACTTTGTAATGTAGACATTTTCTGACAGGTGAATTTGTACGTTCAGGAATGGAAGCCATTTTTCTTTCTGCTTTTCTCGGGTGAACTTGATATACTCTGACTGTTCATTTAACAACTCGAAACATTTGTTCATTTCCTCTTGTGTCAAGCAAAGCACAAAGCAGGCTTCTACATACCTACAGTAGAGTGGCGGCCCGAGATCAGTCACCGGTACTTCCACCTTAGACATAAATGAAATGGCAAGGCTTGGAGCCGGTCGTTGTCCCATTGCCAACCCTCTTATTTGAGCGTAGTACTTTCCAGACCATCTGAAGATTGAGCAGCTCAAGCATTCTTTTAAGAGTGCCATCAGGTGCTCTATCCTGAAGCCATACATGTTTATTTCTCCTTCGTGTTGTGTAAGGAGTTCGAGTATGGCTTGCATTGCGGAGTCATTCTACACGTTTGTATAAAGGCGGTAACGTCGAAGGACTCCATCACGCACGCGCTGCTGGGCTGCGCTGTACGTAGACGATCCAGAAACATCTTGGTATTCGTAAGATGGGCTGGAATGTGTTTCAACAACTGGTTAAATATTAGGGTTAAAAACCATGTTATCCTGTCCGTTGGTCCGTCTACGCAGCTAATNCCTTAGACATAAATGAAATGGCAAGGCTTGGAGCCGGTCGTTGTCCCATTGCCAACCCTCTTATTTGAGCGTAGTACTTTCCAGACCATCTGAAGATTGAGCAGCTCAAGCATTCTTTTAAGAGTGCCATCAGGTGCTCTATCCTGAAGCCATACATGTTTATTTCTCCTTCGTGTTGTGTAAGGAGTTCGAGTATGGCTTGCATTGCGGAGTCATTCTACACGTTTGTATAAAGGCGGTAACGTCGAAGGACTCCATCACGCACGCGCTGCTGGGCTGCGCTGTACGTAGACGATCCAGAAACATCTGGGTATTCGTAAGATGAGCTGGAATGTGTTTCAACAACTGGTTAAATATTAGGGTTAAAAACCATGTTATCCTGTCCGTTGGTCCGTCTACGCAGCTAATGATAGGTCTAACCTTAAGTAGTGATGGATCGGTAGACGCAAGATCATCGCTGGATACTAACTTATGAGTTTTTATAAGAACAAGACGGGGTATGTTGGTTAGTCAACTTTAAGATGAGAAATAACTGATGGTTTCAACCTAACAGCTCTTGCCATTTTGGCCCATTCGTGGTTTAATTTTCGGTATTTACTTTTGAAATCCTCCTCAGATGATGGGCGATAAAGCGAAGCATCTTCAAGATGCTTTTTCGTTATCTCCACATCTAACTGATGAGGAATTACGACAAACTCTCCACCCTTTTCACTAACGGATAGTTTTATGGTTTTCAATCTTATCAGCTCTCGTACCTCTCGCATACCACGTTTTTGCACTGGAGTGAGGTTTGAGCTGTATCTTTTCGCACGATAGTGATTAAGGACTTTGAGAGTTTCATTCGCAAACATCCGAAATTTAACATCAACTTCATTATTGGGCTCTTGTTGTCTGAAGAACGTCGGGGGAAATGGTGCCATTGGTTGGGCCCCACTTGATGTTGTTCGCACCTATTTAGCGCTTCATCTCTAGCTTTTTTGCGGAGTCTATCTTGAAGTTCATGTAAACCACATGCGACTCTACGCAGGTTGCCTTAGAAATGGGTTCAGATGGTGAGAAACTCGGTCCCAATTCTAATAACGAGCGCGCACCGTCAGGGAGAGTCATGCCTCCTAACACGGTTAGCCTTGAATTTTCTTGCACATTACCTATCCTATTGTGATCTGTTTGATGTTCCTTAGCGATATTTTTGTGCGCTATTGAAGCTGTGTTATGTGATTTACTCAAAAGGTGTTCGAATTTTCTCCTCAAAGTTACTTTAGCATTAGACCTAATAGAGTTGCAAATAGTTGAAGTTGAATAATAACACCTCGCGTTTGCTCAACAAAAATGCGAAGAACCACAGATCTTTGCCAATAATATATAAAGACTTATTCTATCAAGTTGAAATCCACATTTAATGGAGCTCAGGAATTGTACTTTTGTCTTTGTCGGTTTTATATTTGGAAAACCTTCCAACTGTTTACCGCCTCATCGTGGTTAAGAGGTGTTCTGGGTGTTGGGCTGCGATGTACAGCGGGGAATTCATCCTCCCGGCAGGGTCTCCCAAGCTGAGAAGGAGTCCGACGTTTCCATCAGGAAGCCTGGCTAGGAATACACCAGTACTATGAGCAACCACTGCTCTGGTATCACGTTAGCCGCATCGTGACAAATCTCCCTCTCATTCACAATAGCTGCGACTGCCTGTGGTGGTGATGACCTGGGGCAAACTTTGGCCACGACGACTCGGAATTTTATGGAATCACAGTGGCTTAACCAGCAAATCTCCGAAAAATGGAAATATTGCTGGGACCCGCGCAACAAGTGAGAGCAGCCCATCTAAATATCCAAGTATATTTCGAAAATGAAGGGAAGCGATGTTTCCTCCATGGGAACTCGACGATGTCCCCTATTGCGTTTCTGGTGTTTGTGGTTGCTGGGATTTCGTTAGGAATTCAAAAATTCGAATTTAGTCATTTATTTGAGAAATTTTAGTCCTAAACAAGTTTCATAATTAGCCAACATTTTTGAGAATGATACTTACTCTGAAGCAGAGAGCTTCTTTAAGCCGGTTACATTTTGAGATAAAATTCTTTGAAAGTTACTAAATATGTGGAGTAACAGAGAAAGATTCTTTCACGGTTTTCAAGTTTTCTAATTCTTGGAAAAATCTATCTTTTCAGGTTTAATCTAACTGATGGTGAACTGAAAGGTAACGTCAGCGAGGACGCACTGATTGCACATCGTCTGATATGTAGTGCTGGGATGGTCTACCAGTGCGAAGGGAGGGTGAGTTTTTGTGAAGCTTATAATTGTTTGTTTTTGTTGAGCGCATTCCATTCTTCTTGTTCTTGCTTATAATTGTATCGGTACCAGCAGCGGCGATTTTTACGAGTTGGAAATAGGTAACGGTGTTCAAATTATTCATCCGCGATTGTTATAGGTAGGTAGGATACGGTTAGTTGACGATATGCAAACGATCAACTACGATGGTTTTTTCAATTATTTAACGGCTTGGTACAATCAGGATAACATGATGTGAGCTCCTTGAACCCTAACTCTACATTTTTCTTCGTATATATTTTCGGATGAGCAGTTCCAGACTATGAACTGTTCTTTGAGAATTTGTTTTTTTTTTACTTTTCTTTTATTGGCATTAGTTAAGGTACTATGTTTCGCAAGCGTCCTTCTATCCTGCACCTCCAAAATGGTCGATTTCGGACAAGAATGCGCCATTATTGGTACCGCCAGCTGCACCACTGGCCTATTCTCAAATACCGTTCTACCTCACCGGTCTTACTGATACCCCCGTTATTATTGAAATGATCAAGGCTCGTTGTACTAGTCATTTTGCTGATTATTTTCCAAGTTTCAATTAAAGCGGAACAATCTTATATTTTCTTTGCAGGATATTCGATCAACTTGTGATCGCTTCGTTGAGCAGGGTCTTCCGAACTTTCCACAGGGTATAGCATTCACTTTTTGGGAACAGTACCTTCATCTCAACGGTAACCTGTTAACGGTATGTGTGCCAAGTGTTTTCCTAGCAATATATTTCCGTTTTCGCATTATTGTTGTTGAAGTGATTGCTTTACAACAAATTCTACATTAGGATTGAAAATTGGGTTTATTGATAAAATTGAGTTTGGATTTAGTTTATATTATGTTTTCTATTATTCATTTTTATATAAATCATGAATAAGTTTAATCCCTTTCAAACGAGCTTGAACGAGGAAAGTTGAATGTACCTTCTTCAGTTTGATTTGCATATTTTAGGCAATAGGGCTCATTGCATTCGCTGTGTTTGTCGTCATATCTGTGTTGCTGTTTAATCCATGGGCTGCGTTTAATGTTTTGGTGGTCCTTATTGGTAAGAGTTTCCTGCACAAGTCTTTAATAATGAGGGAATATTTGAATTATTGTTTTATCTGAAATCGAGACACCTATATACAATCAGTGACAGCATAAATAGATATCTCACGAATACTTTGTAGTCTGGGCAGGTTTATGAGACCTTGTTTTTCAGTGATGACTGTCGAACTGGCTGGTTTCATGGGTTGGGCTGGTGTGAAAATGAATCCAGTGTCAGCAGTTACTCTGATTACTGCTGTAGGCATTGGCGTGGAATTCACTGCACATGTCGTTTTATCGTATTTAACATCTTTGGGAACAAGGTATGACGTTTTGTAGGGACTAGTTCTTAGGTTCTCTAAATCATTGTTATGGCCATCTTCCGAGACCGCTGTTTTGAGTGTGCCTTCATAGAAAAAGTAGACAATAATTGCGAATATTTATTCCTCGTTCGTTATGGACATTATGTGGGCAACGCACTTTATTTATTGGCGGAAGTTGTTCGAAGTTAGGCAGCATCACCAATATGGTTAATTAAAAATTGATTACACTGTTGTTATATAGATCGGAGAGAACATCAAGTGCTATTGATCGTGTGTTTGTTCCGGTTATTCATGGAGCTTTGTCAACATTGCTTGGTATTATTATGCTTGGATTCTCAGAATTTGAGTAAGTTTTTGATTTTATGAAGGTGCTATGCTTGCAGGTTCTTATTATGTCGATTTATGTGTATTTTCTGGGAACTTCGTTCTTTTATTTTCAAGCTACTATGCAAACAGTGCAGTTAGACTGAACTGGAGCGTTGCAAAATCAACCAATCGGAAAGGAAACATGTAGTGCGGTGGTTAGAGCTGCCCTGCATTAAACATGAGTTCAGTCCCGGCTTCACCAAGTCTTTAATCCCTCCGCGGTCGACAAATTGTTACCAGACTTGTCTGGGAGGATAGCAGCACCGACTCGATACATCGGTAGGCCACAGGGAGTCATCATATCTGCGAGGTATGTATTTAATCACCTCTAGCGGTGCTTGATGAATGCATTACTCATCCGTTATGGAATGGTCGAGGTCGAGAGCTCTTTTCTTTCCTTTACACAAACAGTTTAAATGATTATAAACTTGGTCCCTTTAAATCTTGAAATTTTCACCGTAGTTCATAACTATATCCTTGCTTCTAATGTTTTTCTTTCAGGTTCGTTGTAAAGTACTTTTTCATTGTAATGTCTGCATTGATAGTGATTGGTGTAATTAATGGTTTGATCTTACTGCCGGTATTGCTGTCGTTAACTGGAGCTCCTCAAGAGGTAAAATTTTAACTCTTTCCTTGTCATGTAAGAGGCGTTTATCTTGCATTTCAACTGATTTGCAATTGATAATGAGAACAGTTTGCCAGTGAACAGTTAATGAATATAGGTTTTCTCTTTGGATGGGAAGGCGCAACTGAATCTTCCGCCTCCAATTCGTCGTCGGGAGACTGAAATCGTTGAAGAGGATGACGAAGTTCTTATCATGATGCCACGTAGCGGCCAGCCGTTCCACAATATTGCGATTTAGCAGTATTGCTTGTGACTGACGCAGCATATCATTTGGCGCGAGGTCTAGTTTATTGCTTCAAGTCGTTTTTTACATATACGGAGTCTGTTGCTGGTACCTTTTTTCCTGCCTGCTTGATCGTGACTTTTTGTTACGTATTAGAAAGTCTTTGTCAACCAGTTCTAACATTGCCATATCTACTCTTGTCTTTTCTTTACTTCTTACCTTTTTGCAGTTGTGTCCACTTTCAGGTAGATAATGGTTCTTTATTGTGTTCGAGTGAATTCCTTCTTTCTGCTCAACCATAACTTGTAAAATGTGCTCGCAAGTGCAATGTTGTGCTTTGATCTGTGTTTGTACGATTGTTTATGCATTTTGTATGTCGGGCTTTACTCACCTTTTTTGTACATTCTGTGCGAACCCGGTCACGTTTCGGTTAACCTCGGACTTTTTTTTCATGGAATTTCGCTGGAAGCTATTTTGTTCGGGCGCAATTCTGCGAATCTAGTCCATACGTCACAATCCTTTTCTTTAGTTTTTGAACTTAAGGGCATCGATCTCATACCATATTAAGTCATCTGTCGATCTTTGGTCGGTGTCTGTTGACCGGACCGTTAGAAATCCAGCTTAATTTTAAGTTTTATTTTTTTTAATGTGTGTAATACGAAATAGAGATCTCTATATCGATTTTCTCTGATGTCGACGTTCGCTTAGGTCGTTTTAGCTGCAGCTCGTATTCCATACAATTTAAATATGGATTAGGCTGTATTTAGAGGAGGTAGTTAGTCGACTCCACGCAACCGTTTTGATGGTCGTAGGAAAACTGAAGGTGGCATTAGACTGCCGACCAAGCGGTAGTGTAGAGATTCTGTATGTTTTAATAATTAATCCACTGTTCAGGTAGATAGCTCTTAATAATGTTGTTACTATTACTGTACGATATGAATGAGTAATATGGATTGTTCTGTGGTCTATGCTGTAGTGGGTTAATGTTATTTTTTTCGTTCTGTGATTTATTGAGTTATATATGAGAAGTTATTAAAGGGATTATATCTTGTTTGAGTGTTATTTCTTCTTGGATGACTTGTAAAAATACGACATAAACTGGTAGCGCATGCACGGGGGATTTTCGAGGACGGGACGAGGAATTGGCACTGTGTATGGACTACGGGGACTGTGGGCTACTGTACAAAAGTCTCCAGAAATTCTCTGAATACACATCGCTTCTCAGTTCGGAATTCCGAGCAGAGTCGCCATGAACAGACACTTATACAGCAGTGATCAGAGCCCTGCCATGCGTACGTTGTCGTAACATTTCTGCCGATGAAGCATCCAGCCCATGGTAGAAGATTTTCAAGGTTGTTCACGCAACTCCCGAATTCTGCGGAAAGGAGGGAGTTTTGTCTTGATTGCACTAAATTTCTAGTCGAACTTCCGAATGGTGATAATAATGTTGTTTGTAATTTACGTAACTCCGTTCGGTGATAGGTGATAAGGTGATAGAGTATTGTACTATGTGATCCTGTACCAACGAGTCATCCCGCGTCAGTCTACGGCGACATTCTTGGAATGCCGTTTAGCGCGGCTTTCTCGGAACTCCACAGGAAATAGTTTGATGAACTGGCAAGAGGTTTCTCAAATAAGAAATATGCTAATGCCCGCAGTATTTCGAAAGCTAGCTAGCGAAGGCCAGCTAGGTATCCATGCAGATTTTACGTAGCTATGCTAATTTTCTTTTCTAAGGACGCTTGTGGCGCAGTAGTTGAAGGCGCCACCGCGATACACACATGATGGAGTCGATCCCAGCGCCTATGGTCCACCAAGCCTTCCATTTCTCTGGGGTCGACAAATTGGTACCAGACTTCCCTGGGAGGATAGCATCACTGGCTTGATACATCCGTACGCCACAGCGAGTCATTGTAAAGGCCAGATATGCGTTCAATCACCTCCAACGATACTTAATGAAGTCAAATTCATGGCGGATCTCTCAGGAATTAATCAACGCCGAGAGCTCTATCCTTTTCTTTATGCTACTTTCCTGCGCTGGAACCTTTCACGAAATTATATATGCTGCGGAAACTAGTAGCAAGACTTTGATTCGTGGTCCTTATACAAATAGAGAGGCATGAATTTCACCAACAAGGTGGATCAAGCTATCAATCGCAGCTACGACTCGATCAATATGCATAGTTTTTATGCCCTCAATAGCTGTGACGGGCCCATCTAGCACAGTGGTTAGCTCTACAATATGAAATGTTCGATCCCGTGCCACTGGCTCACCAAATTCCATCCCTCCGGATGCACAAATAGGTACCAGACTTCCCTGGGAGGATAGCACCACTGGCTTGATACATCCGTAGGCCACAGCGAGTCATTGTAAAGGCCAGATATGCATTCAGTCACCTCCAACGATACTTAATGAAGTCGGGTGCATGACACATCCCTCAGGGATTGATCAACGCTGGAAGCTTTATCTTTTATTTTATCCTTTTAAGAAGTGTTAATCACAATTCAATTGCCTAACGTATAGTTAAATGAGAACGAAATGATCGCCGACTATCCAGAAGACCATTACAAATATGGATGGGCCCACTCGTTCGACGAGCGCTGATTGGATTGCATTCGTTTCGACACTGTCAAACGCCTTTCCGTAGTCGACAAAAGTTAGGATTAGAGGCACATAGCATTCCCGATAGAATTCGATGACTCTGGATGCAGTTTGGATGTGGTCCATGCAGTAAAATCCCTGTCGAAATTCTGCTTGCTCCATTGGTTGCGTCTCATCTATTGCTCTGATGTGCGGACAGGATAATCTTCGTGGTAAATTCACATAGTGCAAATGGTAATTTCAATTTCTTGGTTCAATTTCGATTGGTGCACCCCAAACCATTCCCGTTGACGGATGGTTGCTGATGGCACCGTATTTTTTCACATGACCCGTCATCATATCTACCGTGAGGTTTGCAGCACTTCTTGCATTCGACTCGTCTCGTCGCATCCAATAGCAACAGCGGTCTTCGAATATATCGTGTTGCTTCGGATACTGCTTGAGGATTTCGTCTCCCTTATGAATGTCGTAGCACATTGGACGAGTCGACTCTATTTGCAATCTTAGAGATAGCTAGGCTATGGCATTCCGTGTGAGCTGAGGAGAGCGTTGAGTGGGGGGTCGAACTACCTTTGGTTCCTGATCGCCGGGCATCACCACTATGCTATCCTCCGCCCCGATGGCACCGTGAGAGTGAAAAAATGGTTGAGAGAAAGGGAAAGCAAGGGTTACAGTGGTGCCGTGAATAACCGTGAGCACTTTGAAAAGGTATTCGCGAGTTGGAAGTGCACCTGAGGTTCCGTGTTTTGCTCAGAGCTCAACATCGTTGTAGCTGTATTTCGCATAATCTCTTGCCACGAAAGAAAAAATAGGCACTAAATGGAAGCTAAACATATAGAAGTTATGTACAACAAATACAAAGAAGCTGGAAAAAATTTTGATGTAAGGCTGTCCGGATATTTCCATAGAGCCTTATTTCGAACGAATAAAAACATTTGCAAAGTTAATATCTAAAGTACTCTACATCCGCTGGAGATTTTGTCGTGACTGAAGTGGCAGAGGGTGGAATGGTGGCGAAAATAAATGAATCGTTAAGAAAATAAAAAAAACGAGAAAAAATTGTGCAAACGAGAATTGGATGAGTCTTAAACGACAGGTATTTTATCCTCAACAATGGTCTACTCAATGATCGCTTTGTTTTCGGGAAGATCTTATAAGGACGACTTGTATTATCAGGACAGCTGTGTTGTAATCGGATTTCAGTTAAGTTTTACTCTCTATTTCGAGCAACTGTTTGACGTCGGTTTTGGTAATGCCGTTTGAACATTTTAATCAAAAACAATAGTGTTTTCTATTTATTTATACGATCTCATAAATTGATCTTGTCGAGCCGATGCGAGGTTGGTGTAGGTCTTCGTAGTCGTTGTTGTTGTCGTTGTCGTTGCAGCTGGTGTTGTTGGTCGATGGCAGACGATTAGGCGATTTCGCCTTCCCCAGAGCATAGACGTGTTTTATGTAACAGTAGTCGGTTACGTGTAACAATCAAAAAAGCTACTCACCATAATGTGACGACTGTGATTGGTTGCTGTTGGAAACATATTTCATACAAGCGCCCTTTTCGTGTGAGAGGGGTGAGAGTAGAGGTAATGAACCATTACAAAGTGGTACCGAAAGCCAAGTAGTAAAAACATCTTGATTCATTACCTCTTCTCTCATCCCTCTCACACGAAAAGAGCGCTTGTAAGAAACATTTTTTGAACAGCAACCAACGTGTGCATGGGAAGAGAGCAGAGAGAGGAATCCCGGAACTTGGTGCAGCAAATAGCCATTTCTGATGGCTACAAAACTGTAGCTCGGGATAGGTGTAGGGAAAATCCTAGGTCCCCAAACGACAACTCTAACGAAAGAAAGGTCCCGTTTATCCTACCCTTCATCTCAAATGATGTAAGTACGGTTATAGAAAGCTGCTTAAGAAGGGCAGGTTTAGAGAATTCGGTAAACGTAGTTGAAATGCCACCGAGTAATCTTAGGCGCCAGTTAGTTCGTAACCGCCTATATGACCGTCTATGTGTAACCAAAACTGCATAATTTGCCTTAATGGTAGAGGCGGTATTGCGTGAGCTCGAGTACAGTTTATCTGATCTCCTGTAAGGCGTGCGGAGACGAATACATTGGCGAAACGGGTAAACCACTCTGTGTCTGCATAAAAGAGCAACTAGTCGGCAGACATAAACCGAATACCCCAGTAGGCGCGCATGAGACCCAGAAACATAACGGGGAGGACTTTGAAGTACGTGTCACGATCCTCGCACAGGAATCAAGAACACAAGCGCGCAAAACTCTCGAGGCGTTCTGGATTAATTCCAGAAATCCGAAAATAAACCGTAGGGGAGAATGCCTCATTATCACGCGTGATATTGGGCAGTATATAGGACTGTTATTCTGATGGGAGGGGTACATTGCGCTTCCATGT